TTAAATTTATCAAAAGAGATGATAAATACATTTATAATGTTACAAAAGATTTCTATTTCAGATAAATGTTGCTTTGAAATCACAGGAATAAATTACACTTGAAAATATATTCAAATAGAAAGTTATTTTAAATAGTAAAAATATTTTGCTGTACTTTGGATTAAATAAATGCAGGCTTGGTGAAAAAAACATTAAAAATCGTATGGTTCAAAAACTTTTGACTGGTAATGTATATGTATTTAAAATATAATATATTTAATACACCAATTTAATATTAAAAGTATGAAAAAGTTGTTTGAATCAATGATTCAACGACTCACTCATAAACCTACTGGATGAATCAGCGTTTTTTAACACATTTTTAAGTCACTTTTCGCCACCACCTAGTGGCGAAACAATGCAATCGATACAAACGTTATGTGGCATTTACTTTCAAACGCGGATTTGCTCTATTTTGGTCGCGCTACCATAGACATCAATGTTTATATCTGAATTATAAACTTTCATCCCAGTATTTCTGGGATAATATGAATGACTGTACGACAGAAATAATACTGTGTAGTCGAAAAGACTGTTTGTGAAGCTGTTTCTTAACCAAACATGGTAACTGCTCTCTGTGTGTCAGCGGGAGTGCGAACGCAGATTTGAATGATCCGGTAAGACTTTGTCAAAGGTTTAATAGACACGGGAGAATCGTTGTCATTTAGAAATGAGATCGTGTGGTTGTCTGAATTGAGATCGCGATCTTTTAACGATTAATCGTGCAGCTCTACTAGTTATTAAACTATTTAGTGCTGCCAAACGATTAATCGCGATTAATCACATCCAAAATAAGTTGTTGTTTACATTATATATGTATGTGTACTGTGTATATTTATTATGTATATATAAATACACACACTTACAGTATATATTTTGAAAATATTTATGTTTATACATGTATATATTCATATTATTATATTTTATATAAATGTATTTAATAGATAAACAACATTTTTCTTAAATATATACGTGCATGTATTTGAATTTATATATACATAATAAATATACACAGTATACACATATATTATGTAAACAAAAACTTTTATTTCGGATGCGATTATTCGCGATTAATCGTTTGACAGCAGTAAAACTATTATAATAATAATATGAATAATTATTATCGAAATTGATCCGAAATGATTTACTGAAATAATGCTCGATTTATTTTATTTCTCATTTCTGGATTCCATTTATAATAATGTATTTTAATCCCTGGAGGCTTTGTCCACTGAGTCCATCGAGAGGCTTCCCGTTTACAACAAATCCGCCTGGAAGCATTATAGCACCATCCATGAAGCGGATGACTGGGGTGTCCCCAGCAAAGAACCCAAGGACATGACCACCTTCCGCAGCTTCTAACGCTTGTGCTGTGCATGCGCTCGCCAGACTCCCTCTCGCACCTTTCACGAGTGCACCTGCTTCTGCAGACCCCAAACAGCATCTTAGCTTCATCTGTCCGCCCGTGTCGATCAGGACAGAAGAGTAACGAAAGAGACTGGGAATACATGAAAGAGCATGCTGGAACACTACATGTTTCTAGTATGTTCTAATGAAAACGTTTTGCACTGTAGCATGTGCTACCAGTATTGTAAGTTAGCACAGGTGTGTCTAGTGCCATCACATCCCAGATAGACAATTAGGCTTTTGTCCTTCTGGTGTATTTTGAGTGTGTATTATTTATGTATGCGTTTCATGATTTATTAATCTTACATTTGAATGTGTAAGTCAGTATATTTATTTTTCTGTCATCATGAGACAGACTGAAGTGTTGATCATTTTTGCTTTAAGCTTACACATTGTGATTTGGCTTAGACTGCTGTTACTTTAATCCACCAGGTGTTTTTTTTTTTTTTTTGATCTGGTTAAATGTTTTCCCCTTTCTCAAATCGAGACGTGTGAGTGTGACGTCACACAGACAGGCCCCTCCCATGATAGTTTGATTGACAGTAGTGTTTCAGCACAGACTGGACTGGTGTCTTACCTTAGCTCCGCCCTGAGTGAGCTGTCATCAGTACGCCATTGTTTCACCGCCGGAGCAGATGTAGACAAGAATGGCTCCTAAGCGATTGAGGTGTTCTGTTGTTGGATGTAATAATGAACAGCAGTCGTCATTTACTCCCGACATCTGAGCCGCTGAACTCGCAGTGGATTACATTGTTTCTGAAGGGAATGCTCCCCCGATCTACATAAATGTGTACATAAATGTTCGCGCGAATCATTCGTGATCCAGCCTCATCTACAGAAGAAGTGAGTATAATGTTTTGTAATGAATCTTTGCAAATCGCCTTTCCTAATAATGTGCTAATTAGCAAGTTTCACGATGAATGTAGCTAAAGTAAACAGTCTCTCTGAGAGCAGCTGGAAGAGAGGGGCGGGGCCAGCAGAGCTCATTAACATTTAAAGGGAAATGCTACAAAAACGGCTTGATCTGAAAAGAGTTGTTTTTGACAGGGTAAAAAAGGTGTTTTTTACACTACCATTGAGAAATTTTAACCAAACTATGTTACAGACTTTTCATTAAGACCCTAAAGAATCATATCAACTTTTGGAAAATGGGCATCCTATGACCCCTTTAAGAAAGTGTGAGAATGTAGTGTGAAGGGTTTAAGAGTGTTAAATGCTTCACACCACTAGAAAATGTTCAGCTTCAACTAACTAATTAACATTGCAGGCACTTAAAGGACAAAGAAAAGAGGAACAAATGCATATGAATTGTCCAGTTTTAAACGAGTGTTCAGGAGTTTGAATCTCATCCTGTTTCAATAAAGCACTAAGTACAATAGCGTAACGTATTATACACTTTCAAACACAATCATTGTAGGAAATGCTTTTCATGACGCGATTGTGACATTCAGACATTAGTGTACAGTAGTGATAGATATGATTAACTGTCAGTGTTGCCCACTAATTGTCAGGGGAAGTTGCTAAAGGAAGGTAGATTTGTTGCTAAAAGTTGCTAAAAGGCGTTCTGATGTCATTATGTAATCATGCAATCAATCTCAGCAAAAAAATATTTTATATATGTTAATTTATATTTGTTCGTAAAATAATATAAATGCGTAATATTAAATTGATAGTTATTGGTAGTTGGTTAGCATGCTACAATCTAAGTCTGTAAAAATAGGGCACAATCTACTATGTTAATGTAAAGGAATTTTCCGTATTGATTCTTACAGGTGTTTTTCCTGCAATTTACGCATTGTATAATAATAATGGATAATGTCCTGGAAAATTACTGACTTTTCCATTTTTCTAGATTTTTTTACAGTGTACTAACTGATCAACAATCACAGGTACAAGCTACTAACAAGGTATATCATAAATGAACAATTATTAAATTATAGTTATTACCATTAAACTGAACAATTGCAAATAGCAGCTAACTTAATTCACGTGATATGTGTACTGCTTGTCATCTTTGGTTTCCTCTTTTTGTGTAATTTAGACGAATAAAATGTTCCTTTTATTATTTTAAGTCACTTATCAAAAGTTGCCAAATAAATTTTTTAAATAGCAAATTTTTTTTTTTTTGCTAGGCGCTTTTGGAATAAAAAGTTGCTAGGGCAGTATGAACCGTTGCTAAATCTAGCAACAAAATTGCTAAATTGGCAGCACTGTCACTGTTTTGAAGGCCTCCAATCGACACACGCTGGTGACGCCTGCTGGTCAGAATGTGTAAATGCAACGAAAACAGCCCAAACGTGGGTAAAAACAACTTTTGCAAACCCATTGCAAATGTTTTATTGAAAGTGTAATCTACTAAATGCAATTTACAAAATCAAATACCATTAAATATTAAGTTCCTGTAGCCTGTGTGTTCTTTTATTAAGCTACTAGAGACTATTAACTATAATATAAATAAATCTAACTAACTAACTATCTTAACTATATATATAACTAAATCTACCTACCTAACTTTTATAGAAATGTCATTAAAAATGAAAAATATCTGCAAATGTATAAAACTGATCCGCGGTCAGGTCAAATGTGTTCACAAAGATCGCCATCTAGCGGCGAATCACTGAAATGTTGAAAGAGTTTATGACGTAACGGCGGCTCGTTTAATGAAATCACGTGACTTTGGCAGTTCCATAATCACAGGTTTGAACTGAGCAAATGATTCGCAAAGGATTCGAATCTTAACGAAGCAGAGCTTCGAAAGTGTTTGAGCTGAATCTAGGTAATTGATTCAATTTGATTTAATAGGTAATTTAGCAGTGACTGAACAGGCTTTATCCATGTTTACTTTTTGAACATGGTTCTAGTGCGAAGGGAGCTGGATTTTGGACTCCACAGACACACACACACACACACACACACAGACAGTCTTTTCTTTTACAAGAGGTGAAAGCATTTATTTTGCAGCTTATGCACTTTGTACCAGATAGAAAGCTTGATTTTTGTCTGTTCAAAATCATCTATTTTACAAGGTAGAAGAATATAACGACAGGACACAGAATCACGATGACATGAGCACTCTCCTTACAATCATGATTATCCAGTACTTAAATTCATTACAGCCTCTGTTAGTCAAATACAATTTGGGCCATGGCCACTACTAAAACTATGCTACACTGTGTAACAGTTATGTATTTTTGACCCATATCAATAATATAAAAGCAGTAACCATCCAAATAAAAACAACAAACGAGATGTTCAAACACCTTTCACTTTGAGTTTAACTCTCTGCTTTTCAGAATGAGCAAAATGGTTTTAACCAGCAAGCTATTCTACTTAGTAGAAAATGTGTACAAAAGTTAATGTCTCTTCCTTAAAGCTATGCTAAAAGTAGTGTATAAAATATTTCATTTGTACATTTATAAACCACGTTCCCCTTTTGTTTCAGTAAAAATATAGTGCTCAATATTACTCGACTGTACAAGGATCCAGCAAAATGACCCGTTTAGCACCACAGGCCAGAAGTACTCCTAAAATACAATACGAAATCTTTTTTGAAAGCACTATTCGTGCCACAATATTAGTGGCAAAGTTGTGAAAATAGGCATCTGAATATTTATATATCCCTTAGCAAGTTTTCTTTTTTTTATAGCTCCTACAGTGGTATCATAAAATACAATTAAAACTAATAAAAGTTTGGGTCTGCTATGAATTGGACTGCCATATTCATTTTCTCACAAGCTAGTCTAATATCTCACTTACTCAGAACACTGAAAAAATGATTTTCTTAATCAGCATTTTGTCTTGTTTTCCAGGGAAATTATCTAAATGTTCTTAGGATACATTAATACAGATGTATTTTCTTTCAGAGGATTATTTTAAATTAAATGCAATTTCTTCTGGAAATGTAAGCTTTTAGCAAAAACAACAACAAAAATATACATTTAACCAAATGTTGTATATTCTCTAAAAATCTGTCTTTTCTTGCGCAAATACATTAATCTTGTTTTATCGATGCTGAGATATTTTACTGAAAAAAAGACAAAATACTGATCTTTTTACAGTGAAGGAAACATGCCTAAAGATGGGTCTGTAAACACTTTTCTTAGTAAAATTCACAACCTGTAGATGAACAGTGTATTTCTGCTCATATGTGTGCTGCACAGACTGAAGTGAAAAGAGTACAATATGATCTTCATTAGTGTTTCAGCTCGGCCGTCTGACTGTTATTAATGAGTTACTGACCGTATTCACTCATAGCGACTCCTCTAGAATGGCTCATATGTGTTGTAAACAGTCTGCCAATGGAGTGCGTCAAGAACGAAGACGAATAAAAGAGGAAAAGCTGATGCTCTGAACATCATCAGCACACCGAGTCAGTGCTGGCAGGCAGCCGTCCGCTGCGTCTGGCCTCTTTCTCACGCTTTTCCCGCTGTTTCTCCATCTTCTCTTGTGCTTTCTTCATCTCCTTCAGTTTCTTCTTGATGGTGGCTCGCTCATTCTGACTGGAAACACCCAGAGCCTGTGGAGAGCATTGCAAACCATCCTTAAACACGAGTGTGTCAGCAGATGACAAAATACAATTAAGCGACATCTTGCAGTGGTCTTAATGCACTTTTAAAATGTAGAATATTGTAGAGTATTAAAATGAGCCAAAATAAAAAGATATTTCTAACACATGCATTTAAGGCTACACTAATGCCAGTTTATGTCAGATTTGAAACTTCCAAATATATCCAGCTCACCTTCAGTCTGTCACTGTCCAGGTTGAGGAGCTGCTGTCCATCGATGGCCTGTGTGCTGAACTCGGGCGTGTACTGATCCATGTTCATACCCATCAGCCAATGACACACCTGCTGGGACGTCCATTCAGAGACGGGACGGTTCTGCCAGTGATACTCCTTCCCTCCAGAACAAGGCTCCTCATCCAGCATCTAATACACACACATATCAGCCAGGTGATCTCATGCTCCTAGAGACAGCCATCATTTGATTTAATGCTTACTGTAGAATATATGAATGAATGTGGG